ATTGTGTTTTGTCAATTTAATTAGGCATTTCATGAGCGCATTGATGTGCACATTGAAGGATGAGGGTGGTGGTTAGGTGAAGCCGTAGATAGTGGGGGCCCACTATTTTGCAAATCTTTGTTTTTAATCAATTTAATGCAGAATTGCAGAATGAAAGTATTAATTTCTTTAAAAAAATCTTATTGACCCCAAATTTTCAAACGGTAGTGTATGGACCTTATGTAGCCCCGACCCGTTTCAGCACTGCTCTCGTTGTCTTCTGCCTTCCGTTTGTATTTTCACTGAGTGAAGTTAAGTTTGTACGAATTTATGACTTTATGAATTTATTACGCTCGTTTTAAAATCTACCCGGTCTACTGAGATTTATGACATCCACTTGAACATTACAAAGCTTTTGTTAACTCTACAATAAGTAGGGTAAGTCAGAGCCGAGCGGCCCTATACACTAACTACACAAGTTGCGTAGGGCCCCACAAATTCTGGTGCAGAGAAGAGGAAAAATAGGTAGAAAAGTCAGCAAGATAAAGGTAAGTGATGAATTACGAATAGATGTTGTTGAAATGGCGGTTGCATTGTGTTTTGTCGATTTAATTAGGCATTTCATGAGCGCATTGATGTGCACATTGAAGGATGAGGGTGGTGGTTAGGTGAAGCCGTAGATAGTGGGGGCCCACTATTTTGCCAATCTGCTTATAGGACCCCCAAAATGCTAGGGCCAGCCCTGTCACCAGCTACTGCAATTACTTTTCAACAGCGATGCTATAGAGCTACCGCAAAAATAAAAGTTCAATTCTAAAGATGTTTGCACACTTGTTTCTCTGACGCATAAGATCTATAGGTGCAAAGATGACTGAAATCAGGAAGCATCTACTGAAACTACAGTATAGCTACTAAAATAACTGGAAAAAAATTGCAGGTGTCTCAAATTGTCAAAGCTCTGAAAAAGCTGATAGATTTTGAGCAAGTGAATAAAAATATTAATCATTCATAAAAATCATTGACAAGCTTGTTACATACAGTATCTGCCAAATCCATGAGTGTAATATTTGTCAAGGACAAATATAAAAATAGGGGGAAATCATGCAAATCATGTCTGTTTTACTACACTACATTTTCTGTCAGAATGCTTGCATAAACATTATGTATGGACACCTTTATTGCCCTAGAACAGTGGTTATTGGATTCAAAAAGGTTGGAATTCTCTCAAAACAAGAGCAGTCAGGTTTCTAGCCCCGAATCAAGCTGAGAAACAATTTTCTGTTTTATAATAACTTATCAAATAGATATCACTCACCAGAATCATCTGCAGGATTGTTAAATGTACAGTATGGTTTACCCTAAAACAAAAAATTAAATAAAAAATGAAAATTAGCTGAAAATGTATTCACGCTCAGGCCATGAAAGATGCAGATGAGTTTGTTTTTTCATCAGAACAGATTTGGAGAAATTTAGCAATGGCGGTTGCATTGTGTTTTGTCAATTTAATTAGGCATTTCATGAGCGCATTGATGTGCACATTGAAGGATGAGGGTGGTGGTTAGGTGAAGCCGTAGATAGTGGGGGCCCACTATTTTGCAAATCTGCTTATAGGACCCCCAAAATGCTAGGGCCAGCCCTGTCACCAGCTACTGCAATTACTTTTCAACAGCGATGCTATAGAGCTACCGCAAAAATAAAAGTTCAATTCTAAAGATGTTTGCACACTTGTTTCTCTGACGCATAAGATCTATGGGTGCAAAGATGACTGAAATCAGGAAGCATCTACTGAAACTGCAGTATAGCTACTAAAATAACTGAAAAAAAATTGCAGGTGTCTCAAATTGTCAAAGCTCTGAAAAAGCTGATAGATTTTGAGCAAGTGAATAAAAATATTAATCATTCATAAAAATCATTGACAAGCTTGTTACATACAGTATCTGCCAAATCCATGAGTGTAATATTTGGCAAGTACAAATATAAAAATAGGGGAAAATCATGCAAATCATGTCTGTTTTACTACACTACATTTTCTGTCAGAATGCTTGCATAAACATTATGTATGGACACCTTTATTGCCCTAGAACAGTGGTTATTGGATTCAAAAAGGTTGGAATTCTCTCAAAACAAGAGCAGTCAGGTTTCTAGCCCCGAATCAAGCTGAGAAACAATTTTCTATTTTATAATAACTTATCAAATAGATATCACTCACCAGAATCATCTGCAGGATTGTTAAATGTACAGTATGGTTTACCCTAAAACAAAAAATTTAATAAAAAATGAAAATTAGCTGAAAATGTATTCACGCTCAGGCCATGAAAGATGCAGATGAGTTTGTTTTTTCATCAGAACAGATTTGGAGAAATTTAGCATTACATCACTTGCTCAACAATGGATCCTCTGCAGTGAATGGCTGCCGTCAGAATGAGAGTTTAAACAGCTGTTAAAAACAACATCTGCACAACTGTCCATCAACAATGTCTTGTGAAGCGAAAAGTTGTGTGTTTGTAGTAAACAAATCCATCATAAAGACATTTTTAACTAACCTTTTAAGAAGTTACCTGATGGACAGGGGTTGTGTGGATTATAATAAGTATACTTGTGGATTATTGTGATGCTTTCATCAGCTGTTTGGACTCTCGTTCTGGCAGCATCCATTCACTTCAGAAGGTCCATTGGTGAGCAAGTGATGTAATGTAAAGTTTGCCAAATCTGTTCCAAGAAAGACACAAACTCATTTACTGTACATCTTTGATGGCCTAAGGGTGAGTAAACTATGGGTGAACAATTACTTTAATGCATGAAATTTCTCTTGACAAATTTTCAAGGCTTAGCCCAATCAATATGTGTAAGCAATTCAAAATTAATCCAAAACTTAAAAATAAATAAATAACAAAATTAAATAAAATAATAATTATTATCATTACATAATTAATTAATGATGAAATAATTAAATTAAAATCCTGAATTAAAAAAAAATCCTGCATAAATATTTTCAAAAGCTAAATCTGTTACATGATGTTATGAGGATGCATTCATTTTCTGTTTACAGGAAGCTGTATCCATTTTTAAAGAGCCACTAGGTGGCATTACCATTTGTAAAAAGCTTCAAATGAAGCATGCGCAGTGAGCAACAGAAGGATGAGGGCAGAGACCGGTGTGTCATGATGTCAACTGCAAGTCATTTGCACAATAAGTCATGATCATGATCGATCGTGTATGAGAAGCAAGTTCAGTGTGCTTTCAATCCCAGATCAGACCTCAACTCATTGCTGAAGAGGCAAGTATCTCAAATTTGTGCATTTAAGTGATACCGACAGGAGAAAGTCAAGTCTCTTTAGAAAGCTTCTTTTTTTTACACCTTAAATTGTTGGAAGAACAATTATGACTGAAGATCATCCTGAGACCTAAATCTCAAATCCTTTCAACTCTTGTTCTCTATCTTTTCCCTTTCTCTTTTCATGTTGCTCACAATTCTAAATAATGGACTTACAGTCTTCCCCATTCACTCTGTCTATTGTTCATGCTATAGTGCATTTATCATTAATTTATCACTTTGCCTCTTCCTGTCTCTTTCCATCTAGTTTTCCTCTCTAGCTCTCTCATTGCCTTCTGTTCTCCTTTCATCATGACTCTCCCTCAGTCTGTGTGAGTTTAGTGGATAGGCTCTCCAGTGACTGTGGGGTAATTATCCTTCATCACAAGTCATGCTCTGCTGCTTCCTGCCTGTTGGGGGCTGGGAGACACAGGCCCATCAGTGCAACTGTTTCTGAGGCCTATACAAGAGGGGCTTCGAGATTACAGAAAGCTTGTCAGCATACCAAGCTGACATTCTCTCTCTTTCGTTCTTATTCATTCACTCAGCCATTCAGCTTTTGTTTTTGTCAAAATTGGCATTTATGAAAGAAATAGTCTCATTACTGGCCGCTGAAAGTTAAGATAATTAAGATTTTTAATGCTTTTGAAAGAATTGTCTTATTCTCACCAAGGCTGCATTTATTTGATCAAAAAGTAAAAACAGAAATATTTCATTTATTGCTGTGATAACAAAGCTGAATTTTCAGCAGCCGTTACTCCAGTCTTCAGTGCCACATGATCCTTCAGAAATCATTCTAATATGCTGATTTGATGCTCAAGATACATTTCTTATTATTATCAATATTGAAAAAAGTTGAAGCATCCAGTTCAGCAAGGATGAAAGGAACTCAGATACTTTGATCTCATGAGAAACAGACAATACAAACATACACGGGCATCTTCGAGACACCCCACAGAGTGGAGGTGCAGGAGACATCCTTCCCTTCTGTCCATTTGTTTCATTTTAAATCCCTTCACCTATCCTTCCTTCTACTCAGTCTGCTCAAAATGATTACATGAAAATGCCAATGCAAGTGAACTAACAGTCATATTAGTACTCATTAGTACTTGATTCAAATGATTAGTATCATTTGAAATGTCTCAGTGCAACTGGTTCAATGGTCTCAATCTTACAAAAGTAGACTAAAAGATAATACAGATCCTAAGAGTTAAGAGATATTTTGCTTACTGTAATGGGAGTGCGCTCTACCAGGGTCTTCCATGTAAATTACCTTCTGTTCCCATTGAGGTGTAAACTAATGCAAATTCCAATTGTTTGTACATGCCTCCATTTGGGGGATGTTTTATCTTGGTTTTGTATTTAAAGGATTGCAACAAAAGGGTCGGGGCGATTCTGCAACCAGAATGAACCCATAGCATGAAGTGTGTCCACACAAAAGTGTCTTATATTAATCTTTGAGAAGTTTATGTTTTGTATTGATTTGATATCTTTGAATTGGCTATGTAGTTGGCATAATACATATTTACCTGACTGATAATAAATTGTTACATTTGATTTAATTCAGTTTTACTCTGTAATTATTGACTCTAGTAGATTACGTTGTATCCTTTTTACCACATTTCCTGCGTCAGGTTACTAACGGACTAAAATTCAGTAGAGATGGAGCATAGGGCACACCAACTGTATCTTTAGAGATCCGTGTACTTAGATTGTAAGGGCTTATAGGGAATTTCCGTTTAGGTCAACTGGATGTTGTTCGACCAACCTAAATAGGGTGAGCCATGACCTCTGTTTATTGTAATGTTACTCTAGCTAAGTGCACATGGGAAACCATGGCATGACCATACCAAAGCTATTATCAGGGAAAGTAATGTTGGTTGGCTTATATCTATAGTAGTGGTCGTGACCTCTGACTAGAAATAATGTTGCTTTATTCAAGTGTATACAAATCTATGGGGGCTAAATATAAGTACTTTTAGAATGAGCAAGCATAGGAGCGGCCTTCTAAAGTATTAGCCAGTTACCTCTGTCTAACAATCAAGACTGATGAGAATGTGACCGTAAGATACGCTAACGGCTGAAGTGATATCTTTGAGCGACATGAGCACCCGAATGAACAAGTACAATAATATTAAAGAATAAATAGAATAATCAGATGTTTAGATAAATTACCCTATAAATTATCAATAATAATTGGCATTCTAACTCAAATGCGAGGTCATAATCATAATCATTAGATAGTAAAATGGAGTCAGATTACAATTGAACTTAAATTTGAATAACTTTGCACGCTGAAAAGACAGAACATGCAAGAAACCTTCAGCCATCACTGGATACCTTCCTTGGGCCAAGTGCGTGGACCTTACATTTGCAATCTTTTGCAACATTAGAAATGTCTTTACTGTCACTTATGATCATTTCAATGCATCCTTGTTTAGTAAAATTATTTTAAAAAATCTTACTCCATACTTTTGAATGGTTGTTTAACATGGTTTCCACAAAAATTTTAAGCAGCACAACTCTTTCAACACTGATGATAATAATACGAAATGTTACTTGAGCTGAAAATCAACCATTAAAATTATGTCTCAAGGATCATATGACACTGAAGACTGTAATGAATGATAAAATTCAGCTTTGTCATAGAATATATTCAAACAGAAAACTGTTATTTTACATTGTAAAAATATTTCACAATATTACAGTTTTTACAATACTTTTATTTAAATAAATGCAGCCTTGGTGAGCAGAGACTTTTCAAAATCATTAAAAATCTTAATTATTTCTTTTGACTGCCATTGTATGTTTTGTCGAGTGTAACTTGTAGTTGTAACAGGCATTAAGACCTTCTCAATCTGCTCATCCGCTGAAGGGAGCAATCTGTGTCTATTGAGTTAGCAAAGAAATCAAGAGTAGTTTCTAAGCAATTTGACAATCATACTTAGTAAACTGCTTGCCTGCCTCTTTTGGGAGCCATTGTGCATTTTATAGCTATTTTCTCATTACAAAAGCCATTTGTGCCAGGCTATGAGAGAAGAGAACAACAACGCAACAAGCAGAATGAGGAAATGTGGGTGGCAGAGTTTAAAGAGGAGGCAAAAATAATAATGACTTAGCCATCCCGTCCATTAATAGAACTGTAAGGAGCATGCATGCTCCTGAGTCAGCATGTAGGACCTGCTGAAGTGAGCTTAAATCTCTTGGTGGACATCCAAAGCTAATTTATGGGTCAAATAGCTGAATGACTGCCTGCCTCACAAACACTGTGACTGACAGGATACTTGAGTCAAGCTGGATGGGGGTGCCCTTAAAGTCAAGTCACCTTTGTTTATATAGCACTTGTTTTAATGCTGCTTTACAGTGATAAACAAGATAATAGATGCATACAAAATTCAGTTCTGCTGTAAAGCAGCTCTAAAAACGGCAATAGTAAACAGTCATTTTTCAATTGAAATCAGTCCATTGTTGATTGAACTACTTGATCATGCTAATATGCATTTCTTAGAAGTTGTGCAAAGAGCAATACAGTGATATTTGTCTTAATGTTCTTTTCTTGGGCTAATATTCTCAGATTATTAGCTAATGTAGCTAATAATATTCTAATAGGTTATGCTGAGCAGCTACTCAGGCTCAGAATGTTTGTAGAAAATCTTAATTGCCCATATGTGCTCTTGTATAAATGCTTTGGGTCCATATAATCTAATACTGTGATACAATGTTAGAACTCGATAAATGTGGCCATTCTGGCAGCCAGCCATACAGTACGTCTTGAAAACAACTTTGTAGTATTGTAATTCCACCACTAGAGAGCAGCCGTTCCTCTGTAATGAAAGTAATGCGTTCGTTTGTGAGTCCATACGCCGCGACTGTGAGGATACATTTGGTTAAAGGGAGCTTGTGGGACATAACTCTTAGTATGCATTATGAGTCAGACAGCCAGTTGTGGGGCGCTGGGGCAGCAGATGGGCTATTATCTGGATCTGTGCGAGAGTGATGGAGAGCCAAGCCTGTGCTAGATACAACACACCATTACTCAAACAAAATATCACTGTGCCAAAGAAATCCCTCCGCTTATACTGAAGCTTGCATCCACTCTTCTAAACAAGTGTATACAAATCTATGGGGGCTAAATATAAGTACTTTTAGAATGAGCAAGCATAGGAGCGGCCTTCTAAAGTATTAGCCAGTTACCTCTGTCTAACAATCAAGACTGATGAGAATGTGACCGTAAGATACGCTAACGGCTGAAGTGATATCTTTGAGCGACATGAGCACCCGAATGAACAAGTACAATAATATTAAAGAATAAATAGAATAATCAGATGTTTAGATAAATTACCCTATAAATTATCAATAATAATTGGCATTCTAACTCAAATGCGAGGTCATAATCATAATCATTAGACAGTAAAATGGAGTCAGATTACAATTGAACTTAAATTTGAATAACTTTGCACGCTGAAAAGACAGAACACGCAAGAAACCTTCAGCCATCACTGGATACCTTCCTTGGGCCAAGTGCGTGGACCTTACATTTGCAATCTTTTGCAACATTAGAAATGTCTTTACTGTCACTTATGATCATTTCAATGCATCCTTGTTTAGTAAAATTATTTTAAAAAATCTTACTCCATACTTTTGAATGGTTGTTTAACATGGTTTCCACAAAAATTTTAAGCAGCACAACTCTTTCAACACTGATGATAATAATACGAAATGTTACTTGAGCTGAAAATCAACCATTAAAATTATGTCTCAAGGATCATATGACACTGAAGACTGTAATGAATGATAAAATTCAGCTTTGTCATAGAATATATTCAAACAGAAAACTGTTATTTTACATTGTAAAAATATTTCACAATATTACAGTTTTTACAATACTTTTATTTAAATAAATGCAGCCTTGGTGAGCAGAGACTTTTCAAAATCATTAAAAATCTTAATTATTTCTTTTGACTGCCATTGTATGTTTTGTCGAGTGTAACTTGTAGTTGTAACAGGCATTAAGACCTTCTCAATCTGCTCATCCGCTGAAGGGAGCAATCTGTGTCTATTGAGTTAGCAAAGAAATCAAGAGTAGTTTCTAAGCAATTTGACAATCATACTTAGTAAACTGCTTGCCTGCCTCTTTTGGGAGCCATTGTGCATTTTATAGCTATTTTCTCATTACAAAAGCCATTTGTGCCAGGCTATGAGAGAAGAGAACAACAACGCAACAAGCAGAATGAGGAAATGTGGGTGGCAGAGTTTAAAGAGGAGGCAAAAATAATAATGACTTAGCCATCCCGTCCATTAATAGAACTGTAAGGAGCATGCATGCTCCTGAGTCAGCATGTAGGACCTGCTGAAGTGAGCTTAAATCTCTTGGTGGACATCCAAAGCTAATTTATGGGTCAAATAGCTGAATGACTGCCTGCCTCACAAACACTGTGACTGACAGGATACTTGAGTCAAGCTGGATGGGGGTGCCCTTAAAGTCAAGTCACCTTTGTTTATATAGCACTTGTTTTAAAGCTGCTTTACAGTGATAAACAAGATAATAGATGCAAACAAAATTCAGTTCTGCTGTAAAGCAGCTCTAAAAACGGCAATAGTAAACAGTCATTTTTCAATTGAAATCAGTCCATTGTTGATTGAACTACTTGATCATGCTAATATGCATTTCTTAGAAGTTGTGCAAAGAGCAATACAGTGATATTTGTCTTAATGTTCTTTTCTTGGGCTAATATTCTCAGATTATTAGCTAATGTAGCTAATAATATTCTAATAGGTTATGCTGAGCAGCTACTCAGGCTCAGAATGTTTGTAGAAAATCTTAATTGCCCATATGTGCTCTTGTAAAAATGCTTTGGGTCCATATAATCTAATACTGTGATACAATGTTAGAACTCGATAAATGTGGCCATTCTGGCAGCCAGCCATACAGTACGTCTTGAAAACAACTTTGTAGTATTGTAATTCCACCACTAGAGAGCAGCCGTTCCTCTGTAATGAAAGTAATGCGTTCGTTTGTGAGTCCATACGCCGCGACTGTGAGGATACATTTGGTTAAAGGGAGCTTGTGGGACATAACTCTTAGTATGCATTATGAGTCAGACAGCCAGTTGTGGGGTGCTGGGGCAGCAGATGGGCTATTATCTGGATCTGTGCGGGAGTGATGGAGAGCCAAGCCTGTGCTAGATACAACACACCATTACTCAAACAAAATATCACTGTGCCGAAGAAATCCCTCCGCTTATACTGAAGCTTGCATCCACTCTTCTAAACAATAATGCTGCCGCTCTCTCTCTCTCTTTCTGATACATTCACAATACACAAAGGTACAGGTGCATAATAAAAGTAATTACACAAACAATGAGGATAATATTATGATTACTATAATAATAATAATTATTATTGTTGTTGTTTTTTAATGTTATTATTAATTATTCTTATTAATAATAATAATTAGGCTATTATTATTATTGGCAATATCATTATTGCTGCTATTATTAACAATGAAATTATTTCTAAACATTTTTCTTTGACTAGTTCTATGCTCCCACAGTAAAATACATCGTTTTCTATCTTATATTAACATCTATTGTTTTTATATGCCATATATACCATATAGCTGAGCTTATGGTTTGTTTTTTGTTTTTCATTTTCTTTTTGTTTCTAAGGACATTTAATGTTTATTATGTTTATTAATGTTTTTTTTAAAGGGATAGTTCACCCAAAAATTCAAATTCTGTCAGTTACTCACCCTCAAGTCGTTCCAAACCCGTAATACCTTTGTTCACCTTAGGAACACAAATGAAGATATTTTTGATGAAATTCGAGAGCTTTCTGACCCTGCATAGACAGCAACATAACTACCACATTCAAGGTCCATTGTTAAAATAGTCCATGTGACATCAGCATCATGGTACTCTCATGAACTTGTGTCGAAGTCTGACATGAAAGAGATGAAATTGTTGAATAAAGTTGTTATTTTTGTTTTCTTTGCACACAAAAATATTCTTGTAGCTTCATAAAATTACAGTTGAACCACTAATGTCACATGGACTATTTTATCGATGTCCTTGCTACCTTCCTGGGCCTTGAACATAGAAAACGATGTGCGTATTTACGGGTTTGGACAGACATGAGGGTGAGTAAATAATAACAGAATTTTCCTTTTTGGGTGAAATATCTCTGTAAGATTGTTGGCTTGTTTGTTGATATTGTTGGATTGTTGATACATTTTGAGTTCGATTTCAGTTTGCAGAACATTTGATTTGTAAGTCACACCAACACTCCTGAAGCTACTTACTCAGACCACAATGATAAAATGTAAGCAATGTGGCCTGTTAATGACATGGATCTTGTCTGTTTGTTGTACTACTTTCTGAAAGCCAAGACTATGACAAGCTCACCACACACTTATATATATGTCTTGTGTCTCATTGGGCATGACATTCTACCAGCCCTTAGATTCTACTGAGAGCTTAATGAGACGACAGACTATTCATCAGCTATAGCAGACTGAATTTAAACAAGTAAAGTCAAGGGGTCATAACGAAGAGCAGCAACACTTCACACTAACTGTATATTTCACTCTTTATACTGTGGGATGAATAAAAGAAAGCACTGGAAACCTGAGAAAGAAAGATAATTAAAGTCATCTGAGGTCTCTTCGAAACCCACAATCTACAGGTTATAAACTGGAGTGTGCCAGGATTATGCAAGTCAATCAATTTTATAATTGTATGTAATTAATTAAAGATATGGGTCATTACCTTGTAGTCAAGTGTGTCTGTGCATTTCAAGGTTGCTTTTACAATCTAACTTAATGGCCTGGATGTCTCAACCGAGAATAGTAATCACATCCTCGCTGTGAGTGAACACGGAGACATTCGTGTCCTTCTAGCAAGGGTTGTGGGGGGTAAAAAGGCACATCAGCATTCAGCAGTCATGGCAGGCACCCACCCACAAATATCCTGGGATTTCAACTATGTGTCTAACGCAGAGGCGGACAAAGTACTCAGCTCCATTACTTGAGTGAAAGTACAGATACCGCTGGTCAAATATTACTCCATTACAAGTAAAAGTTGTAAAGACAGATTTTTACTTAAGTAAAACTACAGAAGTACTTGCTTTTAAAAGTACTTAAGTACCAAAAGTAAATTTCCTTTTTTATGTCAATGCACTGTTTTATTGTTGTATGTAATACTTGCAATACTTCTTAAGCAACTTAGAATACATTACACCTACTGAATATACTGACTAGCTTGTAGTATCTTTGGAATAAAGAGCTTTTAGAATGTTAAAAACATATGGGGGGAAAACTAAACAAAAATATATAAATAAATAAATATTTAACACCCCTACCCACCCCCACAAAAGCAGGATGGTAGTGATCTCACACAGCTCTGACAGTGTGTGCACACATCTATGTGTAGCCACGTACACAATTAAGGAAAATCAGACAATATTGTGTCTACTATATACCACAATATTAACTTCTTATTATTGAATTGTTGTAAATAAATATCACATTTGCAGCTAGTCAGTGCTCAAATGCTGGGAAATCATTTAATATAGCCCTTCAAGAGTGATCACTGATAAACTGTCTGAAAAAAAGAAAGTCAAGTTTTAGAGAAGAAAAAAAATCACCCACTGACTTTCAAAGCTGCTAACGACTTTCTACTTTGAGGACCTTGATAGAAATGTAGTGGAGAGAAAAATACAATATTTGTCTTTCAAATGTAGTGAAGTTAAAGTCATAAGTTCCCAGAAAAAATAATACTCAAGTAAAGTACCGATACTCAAAAAGTGTACTTAAGTACAATACTCAAGTAAATGTACTTAGTTACTGTCCGCCTCTGGTCTAACAGCACAAGGCCCTTATTTTACCATATTTCTCCCCTTTAGGCAAACACACACACACACACCTTTACTTCTGCCACACAGTGAATGTGTAACAGTGCGCTGTGACTGCAGCTTGACCATGGCTGTTAATTAAGTTCTTATCAGAGCTGTGTGTCTGTGCATCCACGGGGCTCCTGGGACGCCCCCAGATACGCAGCAGCGGACCCCTCTGACATATCTTTCAGCTTTATATCAGGTGATGTATTTAATGAAATAAACACCTAAAAAAACAAACAATGGCACAAGGTATAACATCGCCCCAAGAGAGCGAACGAGAGCATCTGGAGCAGGTGACAGAAGGGAGGAAGGGGGTTTAACGGCATACAGACACCGACATAAATCACACAGCACGCTGACAAATAATGCTCAGTGTCACAGACAGCTGATTGCAGGTAAAAATATATAGGCATAGGCACTCATGTTGATGAGACGCTTCTCCATAATGACATATATTGTTATGGATGGCCCATAGTTTTCATAAGAGCTTTGTGCCATTTCCTGGACTGTGATGACGGGTGTTTTATTAGAAGTACACTGGCTTTGCTACCAACATCTGCACACAGAGAAGCGCAAGCTACAAAAACTGGCCATTCATATTTTATTAGCCATTTTGCTGGCTATCCATAATTCACAGTGGAGCGTACTTAACAGGCCTGCTCTAGGAGAGTGGACCAATTATACGGCCCCTGTGAAGGAGGATTGATTCTGTTTGGGTCACCGTGTCTGTGTGTGTTTGTGTGGTCTGCAGGTGATTACAGGAGTTATAAATGCAGGAGGCTGCAGGGAGATGGAGAACAGGAGTGGACAGTATGGTTAGCTTTTCATTAATTATCTCAGCTTGGGTTCTTTAAACGGTATGTTCATACAGCAGAGTTCAGCTTTCTAATGCTGTTATTATTATTAATGTTCATTTGATCAAACAAATTTTAATGACTTTCCGATTCGCAGTTAGAAATTGAATATTGGTGAAGTGGGATAGTTAAAAAATTAAAATAATGTTCAGTGTCTTGCACAGACTAACCGTTTCATTTCATAAGACCTCAATATTGCAGGAGCCACGGGTGAGAAAATCACCTCTTGGATGGCCTGAGGGTTAGTAAATTAACAGCAAATTTTCATTTTTGGGGGGAACGGTCACTGTCCCTTTAAAATTGATCTCCATTGTTTCCATACAAATTTTCTTAAACTATATAGATAAAAAACTGATTTCATCTTTGGGAATAAACAGATTGGGTTCCTTTATCAGAAATAAAAATAGGTTAATAAAAATATAAAGGTTCACTTAATGTTCACTAAATGTGACATTAAGTAAAGTGTATTAGAAAATCTAAAAAGGTATGTTTATAGTATACATACTTATATTAACCTCCTGTATATATGGTCCAAGTCTAGCTTGTTTATGTTAAAAGATTTATTTATGGTAAGAGATATTTTGGATATTTAGATTCTAGTTTAAAACGTTAGGAAAATATCCACTTTATCAATATTTGTCCTGAATTGGAAAGTCTGCTGAGTCACACGCTTATCTTGTTTACAATGCTGCATTATTGTCCTTTCTTTAACCTGACCTTGCCTCATGTGGATTGAGCATCTGTCTGTGTATAACTGACATTTACATTGTCATTTATTTGTTCAATAAAGGTTACTGCTGAACGACCTGCACGACATTTAAATATTTGACGATCTGCTTACTGTTTGTTTGTTATTTGTATGCAGGAATTATGTCATTATTCATTCTTCATGTGACATTATTGTTATCTTTCTATTTGTGTGACATACACACACACACACACACACCAAACCTCCTTATAATCCTTATATTATAATACACTCCTGCAGCTTTACTAATCACAGCACTCAAGATTATTATGGCCTAATGCACGTCTGTGCCATTTAATTAAGAAAGTTCAGTAAAGACTTTGAAAAGTCCTCCTGTCTGTCATTCCTAACCTACGCCCCTCGACGAGCACTAAATCCTCCTAAGGGTCTGTGGCTCTTTCTATTCCATGCTAATATCTTCCTCACTAAAGACTGGAGCTAACCTCGTTTAACAGAGCACTGCTGTGGTGTATAAAAATGCAATACAGCACAAACAGATTAGGAAGAAATTTCAGCGGCTGCTCACATTTGCTTTTTTCATTTTCAAGATCATTAAATGTTGACAGTTCTTCTGTCATTAAGTGGAGGAAGTTAATTATGGCTTTGAAATGTAGTGCCATCACATTCAAACAAAATCTGAATATTAGAAAGTAGTCATTTCAGCTGGAGGACATATCCATTTCACACTACATATAAAAGCCCTCTGAATGAGTATTGTGTTTCTAACAATATGATTTAAAAACAGAATTCTAACACTAAATTAGAGACTAGGGTCTGTAAATTACACCTTGTCCAGGCCCTATTCATGTCGGCACATTTGGAAACAATGATCGCAAATGAAATCTCTATAATATCTCAGTTGTTTGATATTTTAAATTG